TGTGAACTCCTGCCCCTTTCCCAACAAACAGTAATGAACACCTTCCAGCTACTGGTATTAAAAATAATCAGCCTGTCAGGAAATTTGCTTCTTTCCCCTAATAGGTAAGGCTTCCCTCAAGCTCTCTCTCAAGTTTATGTGTTTGATGGTAGCGCTTAGTCCTATATTAGTGACACATTTATGGGCTGCTATCTGGAGGGCTGGAAACAAAAATTTCACATCTTTCCAAAAAAGAAAGCTCCCTTTCCACTATGACGTGTCATATTGAGCTCTGGCCCTGGAAGGTTCCTACGTACCAGACACCAGTTGTAGCATTTTAAGGTACAGAAAACCAACTTAAAATTCCCTCTGAAGGAGTATATTGATTTTCCCTTCGAAGTGTGATGGTTGTACTTGTAGTATGAAGGCATATGTATTCACAGAAAGAAGGGTGTGAAAAGAGTCACAACATAGTGAAAAGTCATGAGTGTGCAAGGGAAACAACAACACAGAACAGAGGTCATCAGAAAGCTGATCAGACCTTGGAAGCTAGAGAGCATGGGGCTACTTGTAGAGGCTCCTCACTCTGCCACTAACCTGGGGTATGTCTTCAGTCATAGCTCTTCACCTTGCTGTGATTCCATTCCTCATCTGTAAAGCAAGGATAACAACATGTAACTTTGTGAAGTACTTCAGATGGCAAATGCAACATAACTCCTGTTGTGGTTTGAGCCTACTCAGCAGCTAAATGCCACACAGTCGCTCACCCACCCTCCACTCACTTGGGAATGGAGAGAGAATTGGAGGAACAAAGGGAGACTCGCGGATTGAGATAAAAACAGTTTAATAATAGTAACAGAATAATACACTGACAGCAATATCAGTAGGTAATGTACAATACAGCTGCTCACCACCCGACCAACACCCACCTGCTCCCAGCTGCTGATCCCAAACACCAAGGCCACACTCCCAGAAATGGCAGCCTCTCCCAGCCCTCTCCTGCCTTTATATGGTGAGCACAATGTCACATGACATGGAATATCAGCCAATCGGGGCCCAGCCCTCCAGCTGTGCTCCCCCCACCCCCGCACACAGGTGAGGGCACTGGGACCTGGGGAGCCCCTGGGGTCTCAGGGTGCTGCAGCTCTCCTCCAGCTACTAAACCAAACAGGAACTCTATTCCAGCCCGAACCAGGACACTCCTTAGGGTTAGCTTACTGGTCACAGTAGGGAGTGAATAACATGGACCACCTATTGTCTCCCTAGTTAGAAATAACATGACTATATGTTTAAACTCTTTCTGTCATCCCACTTCTGCATGACTACAGCAGCTATTTGAAGCACATTCTCCTTGTAATATAGACGTGAAAAAATCAGCCTTCTGTCTGTACCAAGTATGCATAGCACTATTCATAACAAATCATTACTTGCAGCAGCAATGGGAGAATAAAGATGTTTTAAGATTTGCAGTCATAGGAAAAATCAACTGCATTTACTCTAGCAGTTGACAACATACAAGCATGCAGAATAAAGCCTACCTAGACTATTTCCTCAAGGTATCTGTTTATGATTCTTAATGGTGGGGAAGAAGAGGAAGATTCTCTCAGACAATTGTTAAATATAATCTTTGTATGGAGTTGCAGGACAGTCCAGGGACTTAAAAGTTAATTCTATAGTAGTTCCTTGGGAATTTTAGTGACCTATTGTTCTCCCATTAGGCTGGAATCCTCAGGAATAAGTGAATGACAGTATGTCGTTGCAATTACTCTTCTAGTATGCATGTACATTTTTATTTGCCTGAGAACAGAAGTATGTGCTGGGAACAATTATGGCACTATAGAACTTCCAGTGATTGAAGGGAGACTTCATTTATTTTAAAATCAGCATCTAAACTATCCTCTTGTTTAATCATAACAAATTTGAAATCTCTTTTTTGACTTTAATGGCTGAACATGTGGCTCAGGATATGTGGGTCATTACTTCCTCATTCTTTAACATAAAGGCAAACTGGCAGCCTGCTTGGGATTTCTTGGGACTCTTTTAGAGATATCCATATAGCCCTCTGAGAAACCATACTAGATTATATCAGCATTTCTCTAAATCTCTGGTCAGGGCTCCTGTGAGTGCTTGGTTTTCTAACAGTAGGCATGAAAAGCTATGATCAAATACCTGGACTGTTATTTTATTTACATACTGTGATGAGTAAAAGGCCCAAGCCCATAGTCCAGATTCTTGTATACTCTGAAAACGCATTTACGAACTTTTCATTTACTTCTCTTGGACTGTAATTTCAGTCATTTTGTGATGGGATGGAAACCTCCTTTTTCCCGAACATGGCCAAATTGCATTTTTAGCTCCTTCAGTGCTCTCACAGCTCTAGCTCCACTGAAATTATAATGTTAGTCTGGATTTCCATTGCTGTGACAGCAAGTAGAGCCTGTCTGCCAGCATACAGACAGACTCAACAGACTGAAATCTGAATGGAAAATGAGGTAAGAACAGGAGTGAATGGTGCCTGAATTCATGCTACTGCAGAACATCCTCAGGTAATGCTAAAGGTATAGAAGGAGAGATAATTGGAGAGGTGGGACAATAACAAAAAATTAAGAGTGAGAGCATATCAGGGGACATTTTCTTCTTTTTTTTTTTTTTTTTTTTCCCTTGGATAAACTTTTATGTGGTTTGTCCTAAGTGCAAGACAGCTTGCTGAAAGCTATAATATCTTCTTCCTCTACCCTCATGGTAATTTTGGCAACAGAAAAAGATAATATAGATCATATATGTGAAGTGACAAAAGCAAGTAAGTGATCGGAAATGAGCTGTTTAAATTAGAGCAAGAGCTGCAATTTGGAGAAGGAAAGGAGCCGTACCCTTGGGAACACAATGATGATTTGTGCCCTTTTAAAATCCTATAAAACCAATATGTGCAGATGAGACAAGAGCTATTTTTGGGGAAAAAAAATACTCTTCCTTATTCCAGGGATCAAAGAGGAAACCATTAAGCAAAACTAAAGTAATGAGTGAAGGACCAGAGGCTCTGGAAAGGGCAATACTGGTACCACTGTTCATCAGCACAGAGAAAAATGATACATCACAGCTTGGTCTCTAGGGCCCCAGTGGATAATTTCTCAGTGGCCCCTCTTCCCTCTCCTCTATTTCAGCAGCCCAGTCCCTGTTTGCAGTCAGTGCCTTGGTCTGTCCTCACCATAAGACAGGCACATGAGCAATAAGGGATGGAAGGGGTCCATGGCCACAATGGAGGGAGTGCACACTGTTCCCTCTTGATATTTGTTAGTGGTATTCCTAGAGCAGAGTCTCTTCCTACACAGCTGTTTCCACAATCAGGTTTCCATCTGACTGATGTCCCCTTGCCAACATATGCCAGTGAAATGAATGGCAGTAGCTTGCTCTCTGCAGTACACTCTGCTAATTCTGTGATTCTGTGCATTTTTAGTCCGTACCCCAAGTATAGAAAGGATCTGAGATCCAGGATGCAGAAGTGTGCAGCAGGCTCAATAAACATGCAGGTTCAGTTACCTGGGCCAGAAGATGTGACAATAGTGGTTTTCATCTCTGAGACAGGGCAATTCAGCAAAAAAAGATACTGAATATTTTAACTGTTGGGGTAGTCTCAGTTTAACTTGAAGTGAGAATATTTCACTGATAACTGCAGGTACACTCATAAGATTCAAAAAGGGTTTCAGGATATTTATCTAGAAACCACAGAAGTGGGCTAAAAAAGAGAAAATTTGACTTCTTTTCTTTTTTCTTTTTTTTTTTTTTTAAGTACAAGGAAATGCCAAAACTTTCAGTATTGCAGACAATTACATGGATTACAAAACAAAAGAAAATTGTTAAAATTCCTAGATTGTAAATGGATATACCAGCTAAAGCTGCTCTTAAATTGCATATGCAATTTCTGATAAAACATAGCCTAAAGACCTCAGATACTAAGGGAAAAGGAAGAACAGTTCATGGCTCTTCATCCTTTTCTACAACAGCCCAAGTTTCTTGACTGTCTTCCTAGTAAACACTTCCTCTTTTCTCTTAAATCATCAATAATGACAGGCATTGATATAGTTAAATATTTCTACTTTGGTGAACAAAAATAAATAGTTAATAACCAGAGTTCCTCACAGTTATAAATGCCATTAACTGTCTCTCACAATCCTACTGTTTTAAGGGGAGATGTGACATTGAACTTGCAGGGCAAAGACGAGTGAGCATTTACCAGGTGAAACAAAGAGAAGAATTTTAAATAAGAAGACCTTTAGTGAAATCACTGATTGAGAAGTGTGCTTGCTGCATGCTACGTTTATTTAGATATCAATGGGGTTACAGTTACACTCCTTTATAACTTGGGATTTTTTTCAAAAATGGAAGGTATATCAGATCACTATTTCTTGCATTGTTTGGTCTGCATTTAGGTGGCAAGCAGATGCAGAAAAATGAAAATGAACAAACCTAGATCATCCACTGCCAAAATATGTCAGTGTTCCCAAGGGCTGGGAAGGCAAGCAGAAGCAAGTCGGCAGGCTGAGAGAAGAAGGTCTCTGCTCCTAGGACTGAGGAGATATGGAGCTTCCTGAGCTCACAACTTCCTGAGGGGCCAGGTTTGGCCTCCAGGAACTTGGAAGCTGCTGTTTGCTTCTACTGTGATGATGGGAACAGTGTATGTCTGTATGTACTCTTGGTAAAGAAACAGTGCCACACATCTAGAGAAGTCTATTTCTGCCTGTGGAGTCCCAGACACAAGCACACATCTTGCAATACAGGGTTGAGAGTCCCTGTTTTTAAAGGCAGGCTTCCACTAACTTTTAGGTGTTACTGAGCTTTGCAGAGGCAACATCCTAAGGCTAAAGTCACCAAACAATATAACTTCCTGTTCAAGCGTTGCCATTACAGCGGTTTCACTTGGTTGTGTATCATGTGCTTCGGAGGGAGGAAGAGAGAAGTTGTGTGAGCGACCGAGGGTGCAGCCTGGCCCCACGGGGAAAGCAGGCTGGTGGCGCGGGGCCCTGGGGGACGTGGCAGTGCCTGCAGGGGGTGGGGACAAGGTGTTGGGCCCACCATTAGCACCATGCTCCTGGGGATCCTCGTGGTGCTCTGCTTCATCCCCACTGCTGATGTAACAGGTAACAACCCCCCCCCTCCCATTTCAATCCTTTCCACTACTTTTCCTCACTTGGATCATTGGGTGGAGAAGGTCTTACATAGATTTGAATTAATTTTGCACAAATTTTTCTGTGTTTGGATGAAAGGGGAGAGACAGAGCATGCTGCTAAGACTGTACACAGATCAACTTGATATAACTAAGAGGCTGATTTTTTTCCTGCAACAAGTATCCCTCCAAGATAAGACCCAAGAGCTTTCTTTTAATTTTTCTCCTATTTGGATGCATTTGGAAATTGAATGCACAGATAGAGGGGACTCTATTTCACCTTCCCCCGGGCTTTAAAAATTTTGCTCACAAGTGCCTTCTCTTAAGGGGCACGGGGACTGAGCAGACCTGGTGCCACAGTGCCTCTCTTGGGGCATCTTCTCCACCACCCCACCGACTCCTGTGTGAAGCTCCAGGTCCCACCATGGTCTGGCTCGGTGTGATGGGCTGCAGAGCTGAGCCCACCCACATCCTCATAGAACTAGCATATAAAAGGACCAAAAACAGAGTTGCTTACTGAACTAAAAGATGGGAGGATGAGAATTGCCAGGTTTCTGATTTTTGCTTGTTTAGTAGTTTATTGATACTTACTAGAAATCTAGCTTCTTTCTGATAAGGTCTTCAACAACAAAAAATGTCTATTTGTGATTTTGAAATCCTGAGTCTTAGTGAACCTTTCTGTATCTTCAGTCAGTGTGGCTGAGGGTATTTTTTCTCGGTGTTGTCTTGCTGATGCAGTGTTTGTATGTTCAGAGTTAACACATCTTTCCAAGGGGTACATCAAAATGCAAAGCAATGTAAGAGATGATGGCTTCCACTAGGATAATCTGGAAACAAATAATTTTTCAAACTGTTGGCCTGTGAATTGTTGTTATTGGGTCTTCTCCAAATATCAGTGGTTTTGTATTTTATGGGGAAGTTACAGATAGGAATAAAACTCTGTTTTCCAAAGCAAAACTTTTCACATACAGAACATCTTTAAAGAGTTGCTTTTTCTAATACAGGACATACAATTGAACCTATTTTTTCCTTATTTCTGCCTTATTTTTCTACAGTCCTTCTCCTCAGTGAAGGCGTTATAATTTGCATGACACCATGATCTACATTTCTTTAAGAAATCATAGGATTTTTTTTCCTTGTCCTTTTCCCATGTTTATAATTCTGTGTTTGCAATATCATAATTATTTCCACAGTGGGTCCCTGGGTTGTCAGAGAAAACAATGATTCCAAGAGGGGATAAGGATCAGCAGTGGGCTAGCAGTTTTAAAAACATTTCCATGAGGTGTGAACGGCTTTTAAGCAACTCTATTTGCAACAAAATAAAATATAGTGTGTGGTTATCAGACACAGAGGTTATGCCATGACTCTATAGACATTTATACACTTGCTTTGCATGAAGAACTTGAGTTTCTCCAGTAGCTTCACTAAGACTGCTAAACTACTTAAAGAGAAGCACAGGAGGTCACTTGCTTTTCAGGGCTCTCATCCTTTTTCCATATCTTTTCTCCAGCTCTTCTTTTCATTTTGATCAAGATGATTGATCCTTAGTAAGTGGAAAACATTCAGGCAGGTCGAAACCCTGCAAAACTTCCTCAAGCCACAAAGTGTATTATAGGCCTCAGGTATTTTGTTTTGGGGAAGACAACAGAATTTGTCCCATTCTTCTGTTGTCAGACTCTACCAGTGAGTGCTGCAGGTTGAGTCTGAATCAAAAGGGACTTAAAAGAACAGTTTGTTCATTTTCCTTTTGCAGAAACACTAACGTTTACGAAGTTCATCCTCCCCCTATTGTTGTTGGCTAAATAATTACCTTGCTATGGTTTGGCAGAGGGGCAGCTAAATCAAGTTGCCTGTCCTGTGTATTTTGTGAAATAAGTAATATAAGTGGGTTTCCACTGCAGCGTACCACAAATTACCTCATCTTCTTACTACCCTCATAACCTTCTGGCTTATGGTCTCTGGGTGTTAAAATCAACTTCTAACCCACTATGGTTACTAGAATGCAGAAGATGTATGAAGCAAGGATAGCTGAGATTAGGATGACATCAACAAATTCTTGTTTAAAAAAAAAAAAAAATATCACAAACTGACAAGAAAAAGCCTTGTGCTCATACTGGTTTTGATTAAAGCAAGAGCGTCACCTGGGCTTTATGTAGTACTAGGCTTCCTGTAGTACTCGCACCAAAGGAGGAAAGATTAACAGAAAGCAAGTCTATAACGGCTAGGAAAGGCAGATTCTTCCAGCTGCACATTATACACATAGCTGGGTCGCCTAAAACCAAAGTAAAAGACCCTTGTAGCTAGAAAAGAAGAGTAAAGGTGGTTGAACAACAGAACACCATCAGCAAAAACGGAATAGCTTTGTCTATAACATGGCTGTGTGTCTTTCTATTTGTGGATTAAACTCCTTTCAGGTTTTCCCCTATCCTCCCAGGGACTTAAGTAGGCCATTTCTTTACTGTGTTTATAGAAATCCCAACTTATCCCAGATTCCTTGCTCTGGCAAATAGCTCCTTGAAGTCAAATGGCATGGAAAAGAAAGAAAGGAGAGTACAAAATATTTTTAGCAGAATATTTTTTCCAATGGCTGATGATGATTCATGGAAAGTTCTGGAAAGAAACCCCTCAAAATAGTTATTTTCCATACTTTGTCATCTCTATTTCACTTTCTTGGCAAATAAAAAAGAAAGCAAAAAAAAAAAGGTCAGTGAATTTTTACTTCCAGCAGGGGTCCATAATTAGAGAGTCAGTATTTTACGGATATTATATAAGGATGGCATTTTTTTTTCAAGATGCCATAAAACCTCACATGTGATTATAACCAATATCTACCATAACAAATAAGGTATAAAAAAAGCTTAACAAACATTTAGAGATCTTCTACACCATTGCAGATAAATCCTAAGGTCTTGAGAACGCTTGCAGCTTGTGCACACCGATTTAAATCTTTTTATGTTTTTAGACTTCACAGCTTTTCAAAACTGTAGACAATGATTTTTCATAACTGCCATTTTCTTGGCTGGGTAAGGCCAAGATATAGATATTTATTACTGTGCAGCATGACTGAACACAGCTCTGGAAAAGGCAATCATAACCCTGTTTAGGGGAAAGCATACACTAATGGAAACACATACATGTTTCAGAGTTTCACCATTTTAACAATCCCAAAGCGACAGTTACGAGAACTGACTCTGTGAAGGCACAAGCAGCCTTGGCCCGTGTTTGCTCAGAACGGTTCAGATCCTACTAAGAATATAATAAAATTCTATTCGGATCACAAGTGAAGTAAGGGATGTTTGGCCTTACTCTCTTTTCCCTGTGAAACTAATAGACATTTTGCCTTGATTGACTTTCTTCAAAAAAATCCAAGCCCAGAGAAGGAGGATGACAGCAGCGCCTGTCTAACACGCCTGTGGGGTAAGCCTGCCTTGCCCCTGCTGGCATTGTAACCCAGCTAATTAGTTCCTATAACTGAAAAAATATCTCCCTCAATCAGTTTAGATTTGAACTAGTAGAGTCACTTTGTGGAAATGGATTTCGGTGCTTAGCTTAAATCATGTAGGAGCAGTCTTTGTCTAATGATCGACAAATATACTTTTCCCCACTTCTCAGCCAACCTGCATCACAACATCGGGCTGGGTTAACAACACCCAGCCTGCACACCAAGGCAAACAGACCAGACCATAAATCCAAGATGTGGAAATAAGTTGAAGGAAATTATTTTTTTAGATGGGTGTATCAAAAGAGACTGGTTGTCAATTAGCACATTATCGTGGCAGGGACATAAATATTCCAAAGCTGTAGTTAAATAGTGGAGCTCAAGGCATGAAGCTATGTACTAAACATCAAGAATCCAGATTAGCTGACAACAGCAAAAGGTGGGGGTAAGTCATTGGGGTCTGCAGATGAGTCTAAATAACATTTGAAGTTGGTCCTTCAGCGATGAGATTTTCAATGTTTTTTGTCTTTCCTGCAGCCATAGCAAACATCTGATCAGACTGAGCACTTAACATCCATTAGTTTTCAGTAAGTACTTGCAGTGAAAAACAGGCAAGCATTTTTCTGAAGTGCAATGCTTCTGCAAGTGTTTGTTCCAGGATGCTTATTTTGACTGTAAACTCCGAGAAATAAAAGGTTTCTTCTGAAGGTGTATTCATTCCTTGTGACAATCAGGGCTGTAGTGGTGGGAATTATTGCCATGCAAATCAGAAGAATAGCTCTGTCTCAAGTGAGATGTGTAGAATTCTGCTGTGCTAAAAGTAGAGAAGTTCTACCGCAGACCTGAACATTGCCACTTAGGCCAAAGATCAGTTTTCTGGCCAACAGAAATATGATCAAATACCTTGTCTAAAGGGGTGGAATCCAAACCTCACCCCTTGCTAGAATGCCTTATAAGCCTATGCGAGACCTTTGTCGGAAAATGCTGATTTGATGAAACTGAAATGTTTTGCTGAAATGTCTTCATTTCGATGAAAATTCACCACAGGCAGCACCTCGTGTAGAAACCTGCCTTGTCTGTTGTTAATCTGACACTCAGTTCCAGGATTTCAAGATCCATATCTTTCTGCTGGAAAGCCTAGAAATGCTCATCCTTCATCAAAACAAAAAGTTTTATTGTTTGAGTCCCCTGAAAGCATGGGATTTCAGAGTTGTGATGAGCTCTGCTCCACCCCCCATGTTATGTTGAACAGAGACACAAGGAGGATGGACTACAATCTTTCTTTGCTAGAGGCGAGACAGAAGAGCATTCCCTGTCTCATGTCTTCATTCTTTCATGAGAAGAAAGGGCTCGTAAACAAGACTTTCAGTGAGAAAATTAACAACTTCTGCAGTTTTGTGGGTTGGACTAGTAACTGGAGAACTTGCTAATCGCGGGTTGTTTTTACTGCCCACACCCTACCACTAGTCTTGGCCTTCTCATGCATCTCTTTGTGCTGACTTTACTCTCTAGATCAAGTTCATCCCCAAGGAGTATCCTACTCAAGAGGTTGGGGTACTTCATCTTCTTGTGCAGGTGTGAACACACTAAATGTAGCCATTTGATCCTAAATATTGTTAAACATGCTGAAATACTTGTTTTCTGGGCATTTGGGATCTGGCCTCCTTCCCACTCTGTTTCCCTTACTAGCCTTTTTTAAGTCTCATCACATGGATTAAGTAGAAAGAATATAGGTTTTGCAGCAGATTTTGAGGGCAAGAGATATGATTGTTATTCTTACAACCACAGCAATTCTCAGGGATCCTGAAAAGGCTACTAAGACCTCATATGAGTTCAGCTTGCATGAAGACTCACTCAGTCATTTACACACACAAAAGGGCTGTCCTTATTTCTGTCAGATTCCTAGCTTAAAAGCCAAAACTCCCTTCCTCTTACTTATGGGTCATAATTTGAAAAGTAGGGCCTCATTTGTCCAGGATATTTTTTCTTGGAAGAAGTCTTTCTGCATAGTCCTTACAGTGCTTCATTATTTGGCAGATGGTAGCACAGAGTCTACATGTCAGAAAAGATTTCCTGTTTATGTATCAGTCTGGTCAATTCAAATTGAATTATACCTTCATGTGACATGTTTTTTTGCAGGCCATTCAAGTACTAAGTGCCAATGCAGTGTCAAATTAGTCAGCTGCTGAGTCCTTTGAGAGATTAAAAATCTACTACAGCTGCTAGCTAGAGAAATTACTTATTTTACATTAAAATTATAGCAGTTCATGCTTTCAGTGCTCATTGTCCAAGATCCAAACCCTTGAAATGGTTCAGCAAATTCCACCTGCAAATTTTTCAAGTCTGTCTTTGGATTAAAAAAGAAATTGTAAAAATAATATCCTCTTATCTGACTGCTAAACTAAACATTTAATTCACAGTATTTTCACTCCATAATGTCCCCTGGGAAACTGCTTGCTAAGCAAAGGATAGACTAAGGTGGCCTTATATATACATGTATGCACACAGACACAAAGTAGCCTTCTGAGCCCTGACGTTAAATCTTAATCACATGGACCACTTTCGGTACTAATGTTCTCTGAGGAAAAAAACTCTTGACCTCACAGTCTCCCCTAGTGACTATGTAATTATTTACATAGAGAGGGATTGTTGCAACAAGAGCTTCTGTGAGAAACTGCTTCTGCAGCTTGGTGGTTACATACTCCCTAGTAGGGAGTGTCAGCAGGGGAGAGGAGATATGGAGAAGAGTTGCATGGGAGGATGTGTGGTTCTGAAGTCTCATACTGTATTTTATAAACAAGTATTTTTCTTACTTTCTCCCCTCCCCTCCCTTTCAGAAAACAAGATTTTAGTGGCTCAGCATCCTTTGCTCATTGTAGCTAACAAAACTGCAACTCTAGTCTGCAACTACACGTACAATGGAACAGGGAAGGAATTTCGAGCTTCACTGCACAAAGGAACAGGCAGTGCAGTTGAAGTTTGCTTTATTTCATGGAACACGACCAAAACTAGCAGTAATTCAAATAAAGAATTCAACTGCCAGGGGATTCATGATAAAGACAAAGTCATCTTCAATCTTTGGAATATGAGTGCCGACCAAACTGACATCTACTTCTGCAAAATTGAGGCCATGTATCCACCCCCATATGTCTACAATGAGAAGAGCAATGGGACCGTCATTCATGTGAAAGGTAAGCTGGGAAATCCCTGTAGGCCAGTATCCTCCCTGTGCACACTCACTACATGATGGCTGGAAGTGGTTTGTTTCCTTCATTCTTTCTTTCCTTCCTTCCTTCCCCCCCCCCCCCAAAAAAAAAAAAAAAAAAAAAAAAAAAAATTTGGGTTGTCTGGTAAAACTACATTCCCACTCCTGATGTCCTGAAGAAAGCATCTTAAAACGCTGATTAATAAAAATGGCACACTGAAACAAGGGATAAATAAGCAGAGATCGAGGTTTTTGCTTTCATGTACTTAAAGTTTTCTTTGTTCTTTTCCTTAAAGAAACACCCATCCAAACACAAGAGCCTCAGTCTGCAATTCCTTTGTGGATTATGGTGTCAGTGACTGGAGTTCTTGCTTTCTACAGTATGCTAATAACTGCAGTTTTTATTAACTACTGGGTAAGGAACAACTATTTTTCTTTGCTCTATATGCTCTTTGTCCCTAGTTCATTTCTCAGGCCATGTTTACCACAAACTCACTGGTGCTCCTCATTTCAGGATCACAGTGTTTCTTCGCTCCAGCTATATATACATACCTATGCTATACCCCAAAAGAATTGAAACACCAGATGCTCTCTAGGTCGGCAGTCAGGCCTCAGCAGTGGAATTCTAAAGCACATAGTAATGCCATAGTGTTGGCAGTGCCCTGCACACCAGCAGTACTGGATCAGTGTCTCTAGCTCTGCCAATTGTTCCTGTCAGGGAAATCTAGCACTACAAGCATTCCTGGCAAAACCCTTTGAGACTGTACTGACAGAAGGAGCTCAGATACAGTAAAACAATCTTTAGAACCCTTAGTTGGCCTAAGACCATATGCACTGATGTCTTGCGCCTATTCAGCAGTTCCCTCGAGTACCCACAATTTCTGGCAGCTTGTCTGCAAGGGAATAGGAGCACTGGGATCTCAGTAGTCCCTCATCTGCCTCTGTACATTAACCCTAAGAAAGCTGAGACAGTCTTATGGCTTGTTATTTTTGCTTTCTAATGTCTCTGGAGAGTTGGCTGGCCCAGGTCACATCCAGTTGTGCCTGCTGGAGTAAAGAGAGAGTGAAGCGTGATGCAGAGGCAGCAGAAGGACATCTTCCTCGACAAGTCTTAGAACTGTGATCTCTCTGAGCTGATTTACACTATTTACTCCATGTGGAAAAGGCTTGAATATTGACCATAGAGAGCTCTGCTCCTCGCACTCTGCCTTTCCTCTGTATCACTGTCGTTAAATAGTGGTTTTCAACATGTTATGAGGTAGCCTGTATAAAGGACCCAGAGTCCCTGATGGGCTAAATGTTGCGTGTATACAGAAAGCCACTCTCACTGCTAGCTGAAGCTTGAGATCTGTTAAGCGTTTCGCAAAAATACAGTAGTTCAATATATGGCTATTTCTAATGAAAAACAATCAAAAGGAGCATTGCCATAGGGAAACACAAAGGTTAAGTGGTCCTTCTTTGTGTCTTATTGTAGAAGCTGACTCCTGGGAGAGCTGAGAGGATTATGGCAAACAGCTGCTAGTGTTACAGTGCTGTGCTAAGGTGGCTGCGCCCTGATGAAAGTCTGTAGCTTCAAATCCATCATTTACAATCTGAACTGTTTTCTCTCTGCTATATTCATTTGGTACTTAATGGCTATGCGCTTTGCTACTAACATGTCTGCCCCCAGCACAAGTGACAAGGCTGCATTGTGATGTGTGCTGTTTGCTGCATCAGTTTTTACACGCTGTTATCACTGCTGGTGGTATTCTGACAATATGTACTCTGAGCATGGATGTATTTACAATGTTGCTGAATGTAGATACAGCTGCCTAGAAGACATTATGAATTGCAAAAAAAGGTCCTAAAATATGATACTTGACAGCCATGGCAAGCCTGTTTCACTTGAGTTCCTGGAATCAGCTAAAGATTTGTCTATTTTCATACAGTTCTGTCTTCCTTGGAGAAAAACTGCTTTCCCTTCCAAAAGTAACAGTCTTTGATCCTGTAGCAGTCCAGCATTCACTCATGCTAGCAAAATGTCTTTCTCTCATACTGAAATTACCTCTTAGATGAATTAAAAATCCTATATTATGGAGATGAACACATACCGGTAAAGCTTTTGTGCCTAATGATTTATATGCATCAGTTACATTGCATGGCTTAAGCAGTATGTAACTTACATTCAACACTTTACATATATATAATATTAATATAAAAAATCTTAAAATGTTTCATAGTAACTGCCCTACTCTGCATGTACAGCATAATTCAGCCATCAGATTTGCTAATGCAAATCTCCAGTGCCACAGCATCACAAATGTGTTGCAACATATGCAAATATTTATGTACACAGGAAAGAAATTTCAGTAAAAAGGAGATTGCAAAAGAAGGTATGATCAGCATTAAGGAAAAAGCATGGAAGCACTTCACGTAAACCCTGATCAATAAAGCCTTAAACTACACAAAAACACCAACCTTACACACAGCCTGCAGCAGTCAGAGGTTCAAATGCTGTTATAGCCACAAACTCCCTCAGAGATTATAGGCAAATTATTTCACCTGTCTTCTGCTACTTTTATTTCTGAAAGAGATGGTGCCCCCTCTTGTCTTGCAGGGGCAGTATAAAGCAGGAATTCAACAGTAGAAATGAGATTTTTGAGGCCCAGATAGTGAGACAGATAAAAGATTAACATCAGCTCTAATTCTTTTGCCCCTTGAAGGAAGGCTCAGAACAACATATATGTGGTGTGTTACTGCTGTAAATGGTAGGCCAACAATCATACATATAGCCTGGGCTGATTATTCCTGCTCTTACTCTGTTTGAGTTAAGCTAATTTCTTTTTTTCCTCCTAATAAATGAGCACAGCCTTCACTGCTCAGACTGTATTGCTTCTGCTGAGTCATTCCACAGCTGAGAATTGACAGTGAGAGGGATCAGTTTGTATCCTTGGTTTGCAGCATTCCTTTACCTGGAGAGCTAACACTGTAAATCTCTCAGCAAATAAGATAGAGACTTACTTTCAGGTTGGGCAAATTCCATAATTTATTTTATGAGAACATGTGTTCTAATTCTTCTGTAAATGTACTTAAACCTAAGGCTGCTTTATAAATATGCCTTCTTCCCTGAACCAGGACCTGGGGCCAGAACTGTCAGCAGTTAATATCGGAGTTGGGTGAGACAATTGGTTAATTCAGAGAAGGAAAAATTAATCAAATCTGTTATTAACTTATCTCAGGTATTATTAACTGTCAAACCCCCTCTGCTCAAAGGATCCCTGTTCCTTTTCTTCTTCTCCCTTTTCATATGTTAGCCCCAGGCAGGACAGACTAACTGCAGAAATGTTTTCACACTTCTCCCACAGCAAAAATCCAAAAAGAAAATGTACCATCAGAGTGACTACATGAACATGACTCCCCGGCATCCACCATACCAAAAGAACAAGGGTTACCCATCCTACGCGCCAACACGAGACTACACTGCGTATCGGTCCTGGCAGCCGTGATACCCACCAGCTGCCCCACCAGCCTCGTGTGCTTCTAGGCAGCCACTTGCTCTCGGACATGGAAGGACAGCCTCTCATTTTCTCATCGTGCTTGTTGTTATTGATCATGGATACCTACACCATAGCAAGTATTGGCTAACAAACATAAAAAGGGGTTGGGTGGGAAGCAAAAAAGGATTGTTCTCCATGATGGCTGAAAATGAGATACAAGATACAACTTGTGTTGAGGGTTGTCAGTGGGTAAGACAGAAAGATGGCATCAGACCTCAGAGCTGGTCTCTGCCTAATACTTGTGGTTTTGCTCAGCTGTTGGGAGAACCAGAACTTCTGACCTTTCCCAATAACTGCTGCCTTAGATTTAACTCTTAATTTCCCTTTCTGTATGTCTAATCCTCAGAAACCCTTGTTGCTGTTAAATATGGCGAAATGTAAAAAAAAAAAAAAAAAAAACAAAACACAAAAAACCCCAGAAACAACTTGAATTTGAATCTTGAAGACATCCAAGCTATTAGGCTGTGGCTCAAATGGGCCACCAGGACAAATCAAGCTGATTAATAGAAAACTACTAAACCTTCAGCATGCGAGTCCTTAGGTTGAACATTTTTACATGTTCATAAGGCCATTTGAAGTCATGACTGATCAGCTCCACAGAGTGAGAAAGTAATCAACCTAAAGACAAAATCAAGACAAGCAGGAGAGGAAGAAAGATCTGTCGCAGTCATGAAGAACCCCATTTCTGTTTTGTTTGCCTCCTATAGTGAGGGAACACAAAGTCATATGGGAAGCATTAGAAAATGCAGAGGTCAGATTTTGAGGAGAGCTTTACTTACACTTTTGAATTTTTGTTTTTATCCAAAACACTCTGCTGAGTCCTCCTGAAAATTCACGCACTTCTTCTGGCATCTAGGTTTTACCAGAGCTCTTTCAAAAATCTGAATCCAGTTATGAGCAACTAAACATCACTCAATTATTTTTTTTCCCATAAGGACCCAATTTTTGGGTTGTGAGAAGGTCCTTCATTCCCACCATTGTGAATAGGACCTGCAAATGCTCAGCCACCTGCAGGGAATGCTCTGGGCAATTCAAGGAACTTTGCGTTGACTGGAGGTTATCTTTCTATCTAAAGATGTTCTTCAGGAATGCTTCATGCTGGAGTAGGACAAAGTCTCAGAAAAACTTGCTTCATTCATTCAATTAAGCATGTTTACATTAACAAGACATCCTAAACTGTAATTTGGGTTGTCTTGGCATAAAATCCCTTTTCATACTGAGGAGATGAGATTTATTTTATAGGAACTACTGAATAAACAATTACATGAAAAATAAATCCATATTTCCACCTTGAAATAAAATGAGATTGTACAACATTTACTTTCCTCCAAATTGGGATAAGACATCATCCCTATCTTCGAGGGGGCATGACAAAAGTAGAGATGTGGAAGTGTGGTAATAGTCTGCTTTGACATCTTAATTCAAGAAAAAAACCTCGGCACTTCCAAATTGGAAGTTTTATTTGAGTTTACTGACTGGGCCCCAAAGCATTCATTCTGAGACATATTGCCATGAACCGTGTCCCTGGAAGGTGCTGTGGCCCCTCTGGGCAGTGGTGAGGTGCCTGCTGTCCCCCCAGCCAGGCACAGCTCTGCCAGGGCAGGGCTCAGAACCCACAATGGCACTGGCGAGTGAGGCCTGAGAGCCCACTGCCATGAGGCAGTGCTGTGCATTTGGCACAGGACCATGGGTTTGGACCCAGCAGGCCCTGAGAGCTTCATTCTGGGTCTGTTCAGCAAACCCAAAATCTTATGATCGGGTTGAAGAACTTCAAGACAGAGTATTTTATTTATTTGTTCTCCTTTCCCCTCAGCACATGCACAAACCCCCCAAGTCTGACATTTTTCTGCATACATTTTTTACCCTCTTTTCCTGAAAAGCCCCTTACCGTGCCTCTGTACTACCGCCGAGGCACAAAGGAGCATGTTCAGGGCACGGAGGGGAGGGAGCTCGGCAGGACCCGTGGCAGTCCCTGCATGACCCCAGTGTGGCCCTCCTTGCTGGCACTGACTGCAGGGATGTGAATGCCGTGCTGCCTCCCTCCTCACTTGGAGTGGAGAAGTGGGTGATCCTGTGCCAGGGGCATCCAGCCACTCCTGGTAGACTGCAACAGGCTGGACACAGCTCCCCGTCAGGGTATGGCACTGTCTCACCATGCTTCAGGCCATCTATCAATGTTGTCATTGTATAACACACCATTAACAAGTGCTCTGATTACAATGCACAGCGAAAAGTCACATCTTTTAGTGCAAATGTAAGGTGAGATGTCAAATGTGTATCAAAAGCATAACAAAAAAGATAAATATTCTTTGTTTAAACTGTATATATATATATATATATATAGGTGTATCTATTTCATTATATCTATATTCCTTAGAGTTTTATTACAATTTTTGCAATCTCCTTTTAAAATTATTAAATAGATATCATAAATTAAATTCTGAATAAATGCATTGGGCTTGAGGCTAGTCATAAGAAAGCACTACTTTCTAAAGCAAATGTTGGTATAATTGGCTTTCCTTCCCCTAGCACTTTTGTAATTTCTATATTTAAAACATAGTGATAGCTCCCAGGACGTGATACTGGAAAGTAAGTTCTGGAACATCTGGAACATGCAGTAATTCATTTGACTGACCAAAGAGAAAAGGGGGATAAAGGGAAACATCTTAAACATATAATGAAAAGAATTAGGAGAAGGAGGACCGGAGAGGCCCCAGCACTGTGTTAAAATGGACATCGCTGTTATATTAATGCACTGTAGGGACACGAATTACAGATTATTGGAGATGAGAAACCAGTAAATACCTTTTATCCACCACTGTAAGGGACTAAAAGAAAGTGTTTGCAGAGGAGCAAGCCAGTTAAGCCTGGAGTCTGGCTCTGCATATGTGGGTTAGCATATATGACAAACAGAGCAATCCTAATTCATTCCATCTGGTTTTCAGCAATGTATAACATGCCAGGACAGCACTGGCCTTCCCTGGCCCTGCCTTTGGGGTCTATATGCTGTTTACAGGATGATGTAAAGAGAAACCTCCCTCTGTTCCTGCTCTGAACTTGGAAACTGGCCCTCATGGAGGGCAGCAAGAGATCAGCAGGGTTTTCTGCCTTGCACACAGGTCTTAATTCAAATGCAAAAATAATCTTGCCAAACAGTGATTTAATTTTTCATCTTCCTTTCCCCCACTTTTGAATCTCTGTGTCAAACGAACATCTGATCTACAGTCATCGTATCTGAGCGGCAATCAACATATGTTGCAAGGAGTCAACCAAGGGTTGTGCAGCTCCAGCCCCCTGCATTCTGATTGCTGTTCTGCACGTCTCCAGCACAGCACAAAACACCAGCCTGGCACGTCCATGCTTCCAGACACCAAGCCCTGAGGAGACGAATGCCAGGGAGGTAGCCTGTGTTATCTTTGCAGTATCTCCAACATTTACCATTGGGGTTGTCAGGTTTACTAAAGCCAAAAGTCACGGGTGTTCCTTCTGGTTTGAATCCCCCAAATTCCAATATCATCCTCTTGTATCAAATTTTTCAAAATGACTCTCCTTTCTCCTGCACCTATAGACATGAACCCTGCATGTCCGTCAAACAATATCACATCTTCCTTCTTTGCATATCATCTCTTTTACTTTTGTTTCTATGCCAGAGTCAGCAGTTCAGGAACTCACCCAATTTGTTAATCTCTAACACCATTGTGCAGCCTTGCACATGCACCCCTGACTAGTTACTTGCTTCACAAAGACTGTCTTGTATGTCACATTCCTCTTCAGTTTGGGGTAAGGAGTTGCCATAGGAGATTGGAGCCATGTGGTGATTGGATAGGTATTTATCTTCTGTTTGAAAGGTTTGGGATCTTTCATTCCTTTGATTTTTCCCATCATCTTCAGATTTTCAGTTGTGCTAAAAAGCCACGTGGGGATCCCACACACCAGGTGCTTCCCACAGTGCATTTAATTTCTCTACATTTCATTTCCCGTGCATAGCAGGCTTTTGGCCATTGCCAAGTTCATTATGCCTGTAGACATGCCCTGACAGCAGAATCAGCTTTGGCTACTGATGGTATGTTTGATACTAATAAATAACATGGTACAAAAAGCTTGAGTTTTAGGAGCACAGAAGCAAAGGCTTCAGTGCTAAAGATCAAATCTTTCCGTTTTCAGCAAGGCTTTTGCTGTGTGACTGGAAAATACTTTATTCAAGATGAATCACAGACCAAGACATAATTTTGTTAGTCACTCACACTAACCAGAAAACAGGTTAGGGTAATAAGTACATCATCAGCTTTGTTAAGGTCCTATAAAGAGTGGGAAAGGCTGAAAACAGCAGTAGGCATTAACTTGTAGCCAAAGTCGGTGTCTGTAAGTGGCTGTGAGAGGGAAACATTACTAGCTGCTTATCTTGATGCAAATGGATTGTTCTTCACAATTAGGTGCTTTTGTTAGAGCATCACATTACAGTACATTACTATTCCAGCCTCAAGGGCATGCAGATAGTCTGATGTGGCCAATTTGGCTGACAAAGTATTAGGAGGCTGCCAACTTCATATGAACTCATTTGCGAAGAGACAAAAAGTTGAATGGTCTCAGATTCATGGTGTTTTTTTGGGTTTGGTTTTGTTGTTGTTTTGTTTCAGTTTGTTTTGTTTTACTGGATCTCCAGGATCAAGGCACTGCTTCTTACTTTTTCTCCTTTTTTTTTTTTTTTTTGTTGATATAAACAAAATGTAACTTTATTTTCAGGACCCATAAACACACCAGGAGCACTTCAGTTTTGGGGAGCTGGCTCCATCTCTTTCATCTGACCATTGAAATGACCAGGAATTTTCAAATGCCACAGTTTTCCTAGCCATTATATCATGTGGCCACATCATTCCTTTTCCTTACTGGCTTTTTATTCCTTCAAGGGAACTATTCTGGACCAGGTTGAAATGTTCTCATGGGATGGAACAACTCTAGTTTTTCAGTCAGGAAAGATTACTCCCTAACCAGCAAAAACAAAGCTGCAAACAAGCAATTTCTAACAGTACAGTTCTGTGCAAATTAACATAGCGGTTTCAATCTGGTAGGAGGATCAAATGGCCTTTTTACAAAATCTTTTTGCTCTAAAATAAAGAAGCTTAAGAAATTACATACTAAAGTACCTTAAAAGAAAAGACATCAGGTTGCAAGATTAAGAAATCAAAGGCAGGAAACGCCAGAAGGAAGCTTTCCTATCCAGCCTCTCTTCTGCCCCCTTGTGTGACTGGGGTGGCTCTTTAAATACAATTACATTTTCTTCCCTGTGTACAAGGGACTTCGCCTTCTAATCTGAGCATCCACTGCGGAGAGCCTGGTCTGCTCCCTTGCAGCAAGCAGTGGGCTGCAGTAAGAGGCTCCAGGTACTGTCAGAGTGGGCGCCCAGCTGGTGAAACAGTCTGAGCGACATCTCAAGCCCCTGGTACGGAGGGCTGTAGCAGGACACAACCACCAATCAGGCTAACCTAGATAATAGCTAAGTTAATGCCCGACAGCCTCATCAGTGTCCCATTAAATCAGATCACTCTGTTGTGAGCCAGAACGAACTAATTTTCCTGCTATGCTTGCTGCCTGTGACAGCCCTTCGGCTACTTTAATCTTCAAACACCAGTGGTCAAGATGAGAGCTGATTTTATTTTTTTTTTTCCTCGTGAAAATGTTGAAGTAGTCTGCTTGCATTTCTTCCTGGGGTTCTCAGCCTTCCCCAACCAAATCAGAAGTAGCTGGAGAAAGGAAATTGGTTCTCTGTTTGCATAGCTCATCAGCTCCTGATGCACAGGGACAGAGAATGAAGTCCAGGGCAGAATGTCGCCTTTGGGAGCATTATCCCATGTAGCTCTTTCTCTCATTAGCAGAATGCTGAAGTAATGCCAACGTTTTATCTTAACAACAACAAAGAATGAGACTATGAGGATACAGATTTGGACAGCAAGGGAATGACCTCTCTCCCTGCTGTAGACACACACAAAGTTGACACCACTTTCAAGTCCAGCCCTGCGATGGAGCAATCCACCACTAAGGGTGGGAGAAACAAAAGGGGTTAAAGGAGAAACCACTCTGAAACCACTTCAGTGAAACTCTGGAACAGTCCCTCAGGGAATGGAAATGAACAAACCAGCTGCAGGAAGCACTGCACAAAGCAGACTTCTGCCTCTCCCTGGTCATATACTAGAAATAACCGTATTAAAAACACCCTAGTCCTTCTTGCCTCAAGAAGTACTTTTTACTGCATGGGCTGCTATGCATCAGTGAGAAACCAGCTGCATTCATGTTGAGAGCCAGGTTAGGTCCTGTGCGTGGATTTAGGCACACTGCTGAGTCCCAGGAAGCTCTTGAGATGAAAGCAGCAAATTATGTTCAAATGGCAATGGCCAAGCAAACCACAGCAGAATGGAAAGGCAGGATGGATGAGTGGCTGACTGCAGAAAAGTAGGGTTAAGTGACTCCAGGGCTTGTCTCCAGCAACTACAGGAATGCATTAGTTTGGACTGCAGCTCCAGTGAATTTCCTCCAGTAAAAGCAGCCCCTGGAAGGATGAAGATTCTGTGGTTATTTCCTGAGATTTGAGTCAAAATAACCATGCATATACACTTAACCAAAACAGATTTAAAAAATACATCTCTTTCTGCCTTTTCTCCTTTCTGAACTAAAGGATTACTTACTTACAAATCCTACATTTAATCTGCAGTATAAGGGTTTATAATTAGAGTATTCCTTTCCTGTTACTCTTTTTAAAATTTTTATTAAGGAGTTTCTATTGTAGTTCTGCAATCTGATTTCAAAACACTGAGGCAGAGAAGGAAAATGAGGACTGGGGTATAGGCAGAGGATATATGTACTGTATCTCAGAACTACATGACACTACCCACATGCTGTAAAAGATAGCAGGCACAAAATTTCAAAGTTCAAAGAGTCCATAGGTTACATGAGCAACTTGGTGAAGAAATGTCAGTTAAAAACGAGCAGCAGAAAACAGCTCTGTTTTCCTATTGCTGTGGCTTTGCTTGGTGATGATGACATACAAAGATTAAGTCTAACTGCATGAGCTCCAGTTGTTTATCTCCTTTATTATCATCGACAGTAAGTGAAGGAGATGTGTGGGTGTCACCTGCAAAAAAAAGAAGTTGCATTTCTGAGAGAAAAACATCTGCACATCAGAGAAGGCAAATGGTCTTGTTTAATTCATGCATATCCAGTTTCATTCCCGTCACTAATCTGCAGCACTGAATTTAGTCTCCTGGATTTCCTTAGCTTTATTATGCCGAGAATGCAAGAGAGAGGGAGACAGAGGGACTTGAGCAATAT